CTGTTGTAAGTGATTTTATCCAAAATTAGTGCATAGAAAAGTAACAATATAATTATTAAAAGTTGACTATTGTACCATAACAAACCGGTTTCGACCGCGCCATTTGTACTACGAACCATGAAACTTTGTCCGAATTATTCATTGCAAGATGAACATGATGATTACAGGATGAATTGGCTATGACATAACTTCAACAGTGCCGACATTTCTGGTACTCTTATTTAGCGACTTCAAATCTGTACATGTTTTGAATTTTTTGAAACTTATTAGACGAGTATAAAACATGTATTGTAATGACCCCATTATTTGTGTACGTTGTAAATGTCCAACGAAATTGATTCAAAATCATAAATCTGTAATAAATTTCAATCAAAACGTAACAAGTACATTATCATTGTGTTATAGTTGTCTTCTCGATGTTATGAATTTATGGTATTTTTCACGATGTTATGAAAGAAAATCATTCACCCCGTCGTGAACTCGACACGGAAGACCATAATTATATGCATCTAAAGTTTTTGTTTCTCAAGGAGTAGGTAATCTAAGTGTGATGTCAGCTTGCAACAATCGACAGCGAAAATCGATGCAGGTACAGCTGATAAACGCACCTATCTATTTTATACAAATATTTAAGACAATTACTTGAACGTAAGAAATTCGAAACAGGAATTTGCAAAAAGGGTTCTTTTTTCTCATTTTGTTCATACATGCTAATGAATGGCACGATAATTTACTCGCTACTTAAACATGGTTTTAATGGAGAAACCTCATCCTTAGACTTAGTAGGGGACATTATCGGTGCGGCCCCTCTTCCGCCCGCACCCGCCGCTGCAATAAGATAGGTTAGGTCACATGACAACGACAAATGAGGCCGTAACTCACCACTCGGGCTCCCCTTAAGATTTTCTTATACACCGGTTATTACATTCTACCTGCAGCGTAGCGTTATTAAGCCTGGCAACGAGATTTTTTCCCGTTTCTTTATTTCCCTCGCCCTAAGAACCGACGCGACGGCGCGCCCCGCAAAGTGCGACGTTTATTCCGTCATAACTTACTTTTATTTCGTTTGCAATGTTTTAAAAACGCACATATTTTCGTTTGCGGTTAGGTCGGCTTGCAATTAGCTTAGTTCATTAGTGGGAAATGGAAATGTAGGAAAATAAACGAAAGTTATTACTCAAAACTTTTTGATAACGAAATAACTCAAAATATAGGTCACATACATGTTTAAAATCGTAATATCGATGATCTTTGTTTTTTTTGCCGTTGTAATAAAACAAGCCATGTGCGATTTGGACTCGCGCACGAAGGGTTCCATACCATTATTTATTAAACGGAAAAAAATCATGTCTGCTGTTAGGGAGTTCCAATTAAATATTTTTTTATTCTGTTTTTAGTATTCTCTGTTATGGCGACAACGGAAATACATCATCTGTAAAAATTTCATCCTTCTAAATATTACTGTTCATGAGACAGACAGCGGAGTCTTAGTAATAGGGTCTCGGAACCCTAATAATGTGGTGGGACCACGAAACAGCTTTTTTTTCGTTTTCGTCGTTGTCGTTTTTTTGGTTTTCGTCGGGCGCATGAACGGTTACAACACTCTTTTTAACTCTAACCAACTCCACCGGCAACATGATAAGATAAATGAAAATGAACATGTTATTTTTATTATTGTATTTTGGGCCATTGGGCCATCACTTTTTTTAATTGACACAAATTTTTTGATGTGTGCGAAAGAAAGTATTTTTTTATATTTTTCTCCTTAAAAATCAAAAGATTGTATTCTTGTAGTTACACGTATACGAAAAATAATGAAAAACTTCGTAGAATTATTTATATTCATATATCTGGTTAAGTCATGTATAGAATCTCCGATAACGCTCTTCACTCCGACACTTTTTTATACTTTTCTTAGATTTATGTTGAAACTTGGGCCATTACTCATTTCGTTTTTCGCAGTTTGTTTTCTCTTGAACGATTTTTTTTTTGCTAGTAAAATTTCGAAAAGAATATGTGTAATATACATTATTCAAGTGTAACAAATCCTTATACAATATTGGTATGCGATTATATCGATTGGATTTTTTATATGTTAAATATTGGCAAAAGAGCAGGTGTTTCACCTGATGTTAAGTGATTACCGGCGCTTAAGATCATCTACAATACCTAACGGGTTGCATTGCGAACATTAAAAAGTAGGTCGTGTTTACCTCACTCACCAGAAGAAACGTGAAAATATAATACCAATTTGGGCTGGTCTTCAGTGAGGCCGTAGCTTCCTCGGACGAGACACAGAGCCCATTCATGCAACAGTTGATGCTCCTACGTGGCTCTACCACAGTATTTAAACACTCACAAGTATTCGAATAAAAAATTTAGTCCAAGCACATAACTCAGTTGAATGAGTGGTCCTTACTTTGAGACTTTAAATTGTTAAAAGTTGAATTTGATAGTCGCCCTTGACATTAAGGAGAAAATTCGTGTAAGTAGCGTTCTTCACACCTCACGTAGTTTAACTTCTTTGTATTGCGATGGATTAAGCCAGCTTGGCTTTACTTTCCCTTTAAAATTTTCTACACTATATCGAAATCCAGAATACTTTTGCTACAAAGAATTAAGGCTAATACGCCAGATTACTTTTTGAAGTGTGAAGGTTTTAATGTCACACAAATTAAAGCGAGAAGGCACCGGGAAAGTTTAAATAAGACGCCACTTGTCCCTCGCTGGGATTCACTCTTAATTGCTCCAACTTTTTCCGTCGCAGGTGGTTAACTTTTCCGCGAAGTTTATTCGCCGCTAAGGTGTTAAATATCTGTCCTATGAATTGAGATTTCCCAGTTCGAAAGTCTTGAAATATCGCCAGGACTGTAATAATCAAGCACAGACTTGAATTTCAAGTAGGTAACATTGGGCAATGAGAATATTAATGTCTTCTATTTTATAAGTAACTGTGGTCTACATGGTCGGGCCGAGCATATGACATGATTTTTACAACCTTAGGACATGATTCTTTGATGATAGAAGGTAGCAAGCAAGCTAGCGGTACACCTGACGTTCAGTGATAACCGCCGCGCATGGATACCTTTAATAAAGTGGGCCCTAGCTACCTTACTTACCAGACGAAACGCAGAAGTAAAACACTTGCACTTCAAACCGGTCTTCTGTGTGTTCGTGGTAATTCCCCGGGCGGATATGCCCATTCTTGCAACAGCGAACTGGTGCGAGAATGCTTGATATAATTCAAAATATTAATAAAAATTAAAAAAAAAATGTTAATAAGTAAAAATACAGTTATGACTGAAATTTTTAAGCGAACTGAATTATATATATATATAGGTTATTCAGTCAAAAATACACTGCGTACACATGATATAGACATACACATTTTAATATTCAACGATAAAGTGAATCTGCCGATACTTTTTGGACAAGTGCGCACGAACTTTCCTATTTGCTTTTATGTACAAAGCCACTCTTATCCATTCTGATTTGGAAAGGCAGCGCATTCCATAAAAGAATAATAAGTGAATAAAGGAAGATGAAAACATAAAATCAGAGATTTGAGCAGGACACTGGAGAAGTCGACTGTGCGTCGAACGATGATTCCCATTACGAACAGAACAAAGATACATAATTATATAAAATCCACTAAAGTTGTAAACCTTGTGCAGCTTCCGGTTTGCTCGTCCAGATGTTCTAGTCTCTAATATTAACAGTCAGTTGCAAACATTGTCAAAATCTAGTTTACCTCAATTGTTGAAGGGGATAAAATAATTTTATTGAAGTTTCGTATCTTTTACAAAGTATACGAATCATTTATTTATTTATTAGCTCCCCATCGCTTATATATTAATATATCAAAAAACCTATAACAATAATTAAGTGTTTCGAATTGTAAATATTTTTAATATTCACATACATTTCAGTAATTTCCTTTGAAATAAAAGGCTTTCAATATCAAAATCAACATGAAAAAGTATTGGGTATTTGGTAAAATGTATTGGGTATTAAAAAAATCGTGTTGTAAATTCATCGCCATATCGTCACCTGAAACAATTGTCCGTCTCCCGGCTATATATATATGTTTGGTTTATATATTTTTGGAGTATGATGCATCAAATTTATTACAATACGCATATAGATAAGCAACAAAACAACAGTCGAAAATGTACACCGCGATTGAGAGACCCTCATGCGTAATCTCTTTTTGTGCTTTTGATTTATGTCGAAACTTGGGCAATTTTTCATTTTTTCATCACACCGCTGTTGCGCATTTGCTTGTAAGTTTTTATTTACTCTCAAACGGAATATATATTATATTTCACCTTTATTTATAAAGGCTAAGGAGATACTTTCGAAATAAAGCGCTATCAATTGGTCCTAATAAGAAATCTAATCACTATGCGAGAAGACCATTAATACTGTTGGATAAAAACATCCAATTCCAGAAATGTTTTATTTCACAGCACTTACGTCCATGCCAACGTAATGAAATTTCCTCATTTCCATATTGGTATATTTTTGATTTGAAATTCCCTCTTATACTAAAGAGTTTGTTAACAAGATTTTTCAGTGTTTGGCAAATTTGAGTGATTGAAGATGATTGCAGATATTGAAGATTGAAAACATTATGAATGAAGAATATCAAACCGTTGACACTTAAATAATAAAAAAAGGCGGATTCGATTTACAAACAACAACAAGGTGTTATTTTTAGTATTTATTATTAGTATATTTTGATCTTTGTCTACTCTTGTTCTTATGACAATTTTCTAATATTCTATTCTGTATTCGTAAAAAGCATTTCTTACAAGTACTACTTTGTTATTTAAAACAATTTATATTAAGTGTAATATATAATGTTATATGACATTATTTCTCTTTCTGCTTTAAGTCATTAACTTTTCAAATTATCACATTACACTTCATAAAAACAATACCATAATAAATAAATCGACTAGACGAGGCACTCGTTGTAAGGGTTTTGACAAAATTTACAAACTGGTCGACACTTCGGCGTTCCTCAAATCGGGCACATTGAGTGTGAAATGTCTATTGCAAGTGCATTTGTTCTCGCCACCCAGTTGATCTCGAGCGATGCAAATGTTAGGCGATCGGAATTTTTCATCGTTTGTCTTCTCGTTGTTACTAAACCTAGGTATACTGTGGATTGTGTATATTGGACCTATTTCTTTAGTGTTGTCGCCGTTCAAACCAATTCTCTTGGTGAGGAAACGTGGCGATCTTTGGTATAATTCGGGCGCCAGCCAATCCTCCTCGTAAGCTTTCGCTTTGTTACTCTTCAAATGTGAGTAGTTGTTTGGTTCGGAGCCAGTTTCGTTCTCGGAGCTGAGTTCGTTTGCATATCGTTGGGACATCCACAGATAGCGAGCCATTGGCTCTTCTGGCCCCCAGAGACGCGAAGGTCGAAACGCTGAAGCTATTTTCTGAAATTAAGTCAAGAATATTACAATTAATGATCAACGGCTAGGGTTAAAGACATAATCTTGTATTAAATAAATTGATACATGAAATAGCTTTCCATCAAACAATTTTTTAAATACTACTGGTTTCCTTCGATATTGTCTTCGTATTTTTAGATACAAGGAAACAAAAAGTAAGCCCACCGATAGTTTTTGTTAAGAGTAGGTAGTTCAGAATTTCCATTCAAAACTTTCCCACCCTTTTATACTCTAACATTGAACTCCAAAATAACTTCTTTATTAAAATCCTACGCAACAAAGGACTACTAAGGTCTATTACCTACTTCATTAATTTAAAAATTTTGGATACGGTTTTAGTAGAACACACAAAGAATCTTTCTTAATTATGCTATTCATTCTATTAATCGCGATAGACCGCTCCAGCCGCACAAAAACAAAGCACAAAGCCGCAAGTAAAAAGTAAATACACATACGTTATTCGTCATAAGCCCATTAGTAAAAATTAAATATGCCAAAGAAGATCAGGGAAAACTTATCTTCTGTGGCCCATGTCAAACGGAGTAGCGTTCCGTGACTAATGAAGATGATGATAATTATTACTTAATAATAAATTACCAAAACATTTGAAACTACGTAAAAAATTAAATGTTACTTAATATAAAAATTAAATGTTTCTTAATATAGACAATAGTATATTAAATTACCTGTTGAGAAAACAAATACCAACCATTGATAACTAATTTCTCTCAGGACACAGGGCAAATATGAAACAGCTTGTAAACTAGTATCGTGTATATCGTTTGAGACTTTCCTAAATTCAGTTTATTGATAAATACAGAAATAGTAAATTTACTTTTAAATAAAGTAAAGTAACAGCCTATACATATCCCACTGCTGTGTAAAGGCCTCATTTAGACAGACCTCTTTACAGAGGGTATTAGGGGATAGTCCACCACCGTGGTCCCACCGCAGATTGGCGGACTTTACATGTCTTCGATTTTTTTTTTGTTATTATTGTGAAAATAAGCGGATTTCTAAAATATGTTAGCACTTAAAATAACAATTTCATTGGTGGCGGTACGGGGGATCGAACTCAGGTTGCACGAATATATTAAATTAAAGGTGAGGACCCGGATCATAAGCTATCACGGCTTCTTAATAATTTACTTTTACTGACAAGAAGTTTTTTTGACATTTGCGCTTGACTTTTATAACACTTACCACCTGGCAGATTTAGGCCATAATACGTTAGGAGGAAATTAATCAACGCTGACATAGGTTGTGGCTGTTAAATATCTGAAGTATACAAGGTGTATCTCACTAATTAGTACAATGGTTTAATGACGCTGCTGGGTTAGCACACATTCGTGTTGCTACGCGTTAACAGAAAACATGCATTTTAACATCAGGTCACTCACCGTTAACAAGTTGAACTGTTCCTCGTTTGCAACTGTTATAGCGGCAAACACCACTACTATAACGAGCATCATGATAAACACCCCCATTAGGGGCCACAGGTTCGTGGACTGCATCCAACTTGCTCGAAGTAAAGCGCGCAGCCACCAGCCCGTTACCCCCATGAGAACAAAAGGCGTCAACCACCAGCCGATGATCCAACAACTGGGCAGTCTCGTTCCAGTGACAAACTGCATATCTATTGTGAGGTAAAACCAGCCTGAGGTGTAGAGAAACGTAACGTTAGTCAACAATTTTAAATAGTTATTGCTATATGGGCATCTACTACAATAATTAACAGTGTTTCTATGTGTTCAACTCAGAGTGGATGAACTTCCGGGAACCCGACGAGATACTACATTAAAATGTAAATAATGTATAGTATTGAAGGAATGTATGTGTGAGTGAGACTGCGGCAGCATTAGAGAAAATTGTCAGACCAACATTTCTTTTAAGCAGGCAGCAATATTTCTTTAAAGTACGCGTCTGAAAAGAATTCTACAAATTGGTACCGAAAACTTAGAAATTTCCTCAATACTTTTACACAGGAAACGTTTATTTATTGCGTGGTAACCGTTTTCAACCAACGGTTTTTTATCATTCAATAAGGGCCTCCTTACTATACAAATTAAATAGCCTAAAAATTATACTAAAATAGCTTAAAAATTTAAATAGCCTTGAGGGACCTTGGCTATTAGTGGATTAGTTTAGGTGAGTCACAGATTCAACACTAAGCACCCTAATTCTATGTATTCTTGTGGTCCTAGAGTTAATATTGAAAATGCGGAGACCGAAACTCGTGTCGGAAATCCTGACAACTCAGGGGCGGCATAACAAGTTCTTGCGAGAGCGCATAAAAGAGACAAATTTAATAATGATGTAGTAATTTTTTAATATCACGATATTAACTGATGAACATGATGGAAACAAAATCACCGTAAATGAAAACGAATCCCACTACTTCGACGGCGGCCGTGAACACAGCCAGTACCGGAACGACCATTTCATCCAGCAACGCGACCAAGTCCATTCCACTGGCTAAGGTCGCCACAGTCAGCGCAGTGCCTACAGCCGACGAGGCTGAAGCATACAGTCTCCACTGGTCGCCCGTCAAACGATGCAGCTTATCGTAAACGGGGTACAGCAACGTCAGCTAAAAATAAGAGAAAAACAGGTTAATTGACATTTAAGTGTCATCTTGAGAACAATAAACCTCACTAAAATATAATATATAAAATGTATCGTAAATTTCAAAAGTAAATGTGCCATTGTTAAAACTCTATAAAGTAGATAAATTTCGTCATTTTCAAGACGTGAGCGTATCGGTTGCTTAGCTCAGAGATTACAGGTCTAGATGGGTTACTCAGAAAACCCCTGTTCCAATCCTTTGTTTCATTTGTTAAATTATTTATCTTCCATTATTTTCTTTTAAACGTTATATTTTACTGCTTTTTTACAAGTTGTCTTATGTATATTTATATATACCTATTAACATTAAAACATTTGAGAGAATATTAGTAATAAAAAGGAGATCTGTTTGTCAAACAAATACGTAACATATCCAGGCAAATTAATAACCTACGATTTTTCTGTTCCAGCTTGGCCAGGCGCTGAAGGTCAGATATTTTCTCAACCAAGGAATCAGAAATGAAGAAGAGTAAACATATTAAATTAAACAGCAATTCGTTTATTTCTAAATCTTGTTTTCACTTACATTGATGGTGGGCTTACCATGTTTGAATGTATCTTTAACCAAAATTATAGTGAGTTTATGATTTTAAATATCTGGAATATTCTAGATGATATTATCCTTTAATGGAAGTTTTATCAACTATACTACGGAATTTTAATAATGGAAATTGATTTAACTTTTAAAGACAAGGTAGATTAAGCAAGTTGAATATAATTATAAGAACGTCGTTAGCAGTTGTACTAGATAGGTATATGTATATTATACTTATAGGTTAGACTTCAACATTAAACTGGATGGTTTACTGACGGACGTGTGACTCGTATCATGTGAAAACAGACAGTGCTACATGGCTAAGCCATATTAAAAATTGTTAGCAATACTTGCTATATTGAATTAATTGCACTGTAATAAATTTGAACATCGATCTATCTTAACTTAAGGAAATCGCAAAAAATTTCACGGTTGGTCGACCGAGTTGCTTTTTGCTCAATATGCCGAAATATAAGATTAAGCGTTGATTTTGACGTAATAGTTTGGAAAGGTGTAAGCGTAAGATTTATAAGCGTATCATATCAATTTTATATGAAGAAGTGAAGATTGAGTTTTTTTTTATTTTTAAAGCGAATTGGGCACTGAATAGGCAAAAATGGAGTTGTCTCACCGAAGTTTCTAAAAGGCACAAAGATCGCGAACACTTTTCATTACGACCTGCCATCAGTTGACAATTTCATAGATAGTATACGGATTTTAATTGATCCATTTATTCATCACTATTTTTAAATCGATTTTTCTTATCATAAAGCAGAAAATGATAGTAATTTTTTCTTGTTCCTACATTGTTATTTGTTTTATCCAAATAATATTGAGACTGAACTCACCAAACTGATAACGCCAGATAGTAGAACTAATGTAAACGCCATGATAGGCCATTCTTTCGACCTTTTCTCGGAAACCGACGACTGATAAATTAAGACCAGGATCGTTACAAAACCAAGGTCTCTCTTTCCGTTACCGCTGATTAATTCCCAAAAAAATACCCAGAACCATCCTGAAAATACGTTTGTGATGACGACAAAGGTAGACACCCTGAAATGTAAAGAAAGTGTCTTCAAGATATACGCAACAGAAGTGCAAATCGATAGAATTGCGATAAAACAACCAACAATATTTTTACGTACCATTATCTTTGATAACGGTAAAAATCATAATCTGTTGGTTAGAGTATAAATATTTTTATTCTGTTTTTTAGTATTTGTTGTTATAGCAGCATATACATATATATGATTCTGTTATAATCATGTCAAAACATCATCTGTTAAATTTTCTACAGTCTAACTTTCATACTCATGAGACAAACAGACAGACAGTGAAGTCTTAGTAATAGGGTTCCGTTTTAACATTTGTGTACGAAACTCTAAAAAACATTTAACATTGTTTGAACTAAATGCCCAATGATGATGATGTTGTAGTCGTCATTTTTAGCGTACACCTCTTATTGGGACACCCTTTTTGAAGAGACTTTTAATAAATGGTTTATGACTGTTAATAAATGTGTAAAAAGTACTGTGTAAAAGGCCCACAGTTTAGCCTATGCATTATATATCGTTCAGTCAATTGAGAGTGTTATTAGGTTGATAATGAAATACTTACCATCGCACGTCCGAAAACGAATAGACCGTACCACCAGCACTTATTAGGTATCCACTGACGATTTGTGTAGACAGCAACGCTTGGACTAACGCACTGTGCCAAATGTAGGGTTGTGACAAAGTCATCCAGTTCTCACAGTACTCCAGTATCGAAAACATGTTTGATTTATCCGACAGAAAGGAAATGAGAATAATCGCGATGATTAACACCACAGGGCATAATGTGATCAGTGACAATGTTAGTGACTTCCTCTGTCTGTATAACCTGAAACATTTACGTTCATGTATATGAAAGATGTAAAATAGACTATAACGTATACGTATTTATATATCAAAGACATACTTCATGTATAGACTTTAAAGATAATTACAAGTTACTTCTGCTTAGATAATATTTAAACGAAGAGACAGTAAGCACCATTATTGGTGCTTACTAACTACATAATGTCATTGTGACAAAGTCCAGGCCAATTAATACTTACATAATGGGCACAAAGAACCATAAAACGAATATTAAAATAGCCATTACGCCGAGATACTGTGGATGTTCCGTGAATGGCGCCAAAAATGTTGAACTGAAATTTGTAAAATAATTAAACGTAACCTGACCGTGGAAAATAGAGTCGAACTTAATGCTTTTGGATTTGCGGAATAATATTAATTTATGACTATCAGCGCTTGAGCGCGTAATACGAATCTTAGCAAGCTCCCACTGCTGGGCAAACCTTTGCACTGTATAGACGGATGACTCCGTGGCGCCGTTGCCAAGGTATTGGCTTCGGCGTCGGGGGTCGTGGGTTTGATTCCCACACGGGACAACTATTTGTGCGACCCACAGATAGTTGTTTCGCATCTGGGTGTTTGTCCTCGTGCAATTTATGTTTGTTAAACGTCCTTACAACACAGGATAATGTTATCCTAAAGTGGGGGCAATGTTTTAAAAAAAAATTAAATTAAATTAATAGAGAGTATTTGGGCATGGCATCCACGCAGCGGATAGGCAGACTTTTCATTTCTTCGAAATATTTTGTTTTGTTATTATTTCTAAAATGTGCAGGGTTTCTCACGATGTTTTCCTTCAACGCTGAGCACGTGATAAATCACCACTTAAAATTAACAATTTAATTGATGCCGACACCGGAATTTGAACACAAGTTGCTCGATTATAGCGAATTAAAAGCGAGTGCCCAGATACCGAGCTATTACGGCTCAAGCAACATGTTCAAAAACATTTATTAGGAGCAATCAAGGAATTGTCTAATGTTATATTTCGTTTTTTTATGTGAGAAAGTGGCAAACGAGCTGGCGGTTCAACTAATGTTAAGTGATAACCACCGCCCATGGAAATTTGAAACACTCGTAGGGTTGCAAATACGTTACCACCTTTAAAGAAAGTGGGCCCCGGCTACCTCACTCACCAGACGAATCGCAGTAGTGTAACACTTTACACCGGTCTTCTGTGAATCGTCGTACTTACCCGGACGAACCTGCCCATTCGAGCAACAGTGAACACTGTTGCATGGTCCTACCACAGTTAACGTTAAGTTTCGTAATCTATTCCTTTCATAAGTTATTTTTAAATTGTAGGGAATTAAGTTCGGATGACACATGAAGCAGCAAACAACCGTACATCCTGTCGCAAAGCTGTCGTGTATAAACACTGTGTAATATAAACACGTAAATAAAAAGGCCAGAATGCGAAGTAATACAGCAAACGGCATCTTGTTGAAACACGCATTCTTTTTTATTTCTGTTTCAGGAGTGTATTGAATGAGTTAATATGATTCTGATTTTGTAATGACTAACCCTTGCGAATAGATAGTGCAAAACATTCTGTGTTGTATTATTATTCTGTGCCGGATTTCAAGGAATCTTTCATAAAGAATTTATATATCGGAGAGGTACTTATGTTATTTGATCCAGAATATGGAACAAAATGTTGGCTCGATATACTTTCCACTGAGCATATCATCAAAACAAAATGTCATAAAGAACAACATGCTGCACAGTTCAGTTTCCTCACGTTAGAAAAAAAAATCTGAAAATGCAAATATCTTGCCAACGCCATTGAGATGATGTTTAAGCCACTAGACTATTAATAATACTTTTCTCTAATCAATATTTTTCCCATAAATATATTGATATGGATTTAAATACTTACTTGAAACATTCAGACGCGTTCATTTTATTTTCATAGCCATACTGAAAAAATAATTACAAGTATGTTATAAATAGTTAATATTATTAACAACATTTACATGAAAAATTTAGAATATAAGAAAATCATTTCACATTATGTTTCATCCATTATTGATTGTTGTAAAGAAGTAAATTAAATTTTTCTTTAAATTTAGTTTCATAATGTTTACGACGTGTATGGTTATAATTTAAGCTCTAACAATAATTTGAGTCAAATTGAGTTAAATAAACCAAAAGATACATTTCGAATTTGCTGTGCACTTTTATAGCTTATTATTTTTGTGTTGTGCTTATGATGTATTCCATGATTTGAATAAATATGCAAAAAAAGTCTATGAAATAAATCCCCCCTTTCATACATTTTTGTATATCTTTATCCAAAGATGTTACCATACGCATATTTATTTCTATCTACAGAGATAATTGCGTGCTAACTTAATCAGGTACCTTTTGAAGCGTTAGCAACCAAACTATGATTATAGGGATTTTACCTTTAAGCAGATTAAAAAGAAAATTTATTTCTTTTCTAAAATGTAGAAGTACAAAAATCTGAATCACAAAGAAAGGAAACTGCATACAATATTGATACCAGTTTGTTACGTTAAAACCTTTCAAGGAATCTTTCATAAAGAATTTATATATCGGAGAGGTACTTATGTTATTTGATCCAGAATATGGAACAAAATGTTGGCTCGATATACTTTCCACTGAGCATATCATCAAAACAAAATGTCACATTGCGTGTGTTCCAGAATAGGAAAGTGCTATAATATTGCTTACCGGAGTGATGTGCAGTTTGACACAGTCTTTCAATGGGATCGTGCCTTTACCGATCCATATCAAATAGGCCAACGCAAGTGCGGCATAGATCATACCATAGACACAGCATAAGTACGAAGTCAATATCTTAAGGTGGCCGATACCTAAAAACAATAACAAAATTTTTTTTTTAAGTGTACTGTCACAATATAAAATATTAATCACATTCAATTCGATTATGTCTAGACCAACCGAGTTGAACCCGGTCTTCACTATCATAGATCTTCTATAAACCTAAGGCGATATAAGTATTTTGTTATATGCGTATACAATGAATATCAATTTCATAAATTTCGATTTATTCTTTCTATTAAAATTGTATTAACGCCCGAAATGCGGACTGAGAGCAATTAATGCAAGTTCAATGTACTAATTACGAGCAAAGTTGAACCAACTCGCTAAATTCATAATCAAGAATACCAGGCAATTCATTAGTGAGTCTTTGGTTGAATTTTAATTAGGAATTCTATTTATAATGGCAAAAAATTCCACCCGGATTTGGTACAAGATCTTCAGATTATCCAAGAGATAAAACTCAAAACAAAGTCTCAAAAAATGTGGGATTCCACCAAAAAAACTCAAGATTTTTTGGTAACGTTAAACCTAACCACGGAAAAATTCATCAACTTAAAACTTCACTTTTTACTTTTTACCCTTTATCGTATTAAACAATCTATAAATAGTCGATAGTTGAAGAGTCGTTAAAGTTGGACAAGCACTCCAATTAACAGTGTAAAGATCACGAAACCATTCGATTTCTTCATTGATAGTGTTAATGATTATTTAAATGATAACACACTCTGGTAATGAATTGATCGTTCCAGGCTCTTTCAATCAGAGTTCTTATTTTGTATTTATAATACATTCATGTCAAACTGTTTAATTAAAAAAATATATGAAAAAAAAACGACCGCTGAGTTTCTTTCGCCGATTCTTCTCAGTACAGTGGCTTTCTTTTCCGAAACGGTGGTAGTATTTTGACTATCAAGAAGCGAGAGTAATACTCCTATGTTGAATAAACATATTTGATTTGATTGAAATAAATCCAACCTTTCAGTATTGGGACTGCTCTCCACACCCCGACGGGATCTTGCCGGCTCAGCTGCCCCATCGTCAGTTGCAACAGCGAAATTGGCAATCCCAGTGCCAGCAACCAGAACGAGTAGACAACCAAATACTGAATGTCTCCATATCTGAACGCCTCTCGTGGAAGACGCACCACATTGAATAATGTTAGTGACAACGCAACAGTGCATGCTTGTGACTTGACTGCATCGTACACCCGTCTTACTGTCTGAAACAGAAAACTTGGTTACTAATTCATCAATCTAGTTCTTCTTTGATATTAAGTTTTCATCACAGACAAACCCTTTGAATATACTGACTTTGCATAGTGGTAGAGAACAGAAGGAATTGAACTCTTTAACATATTATAAAATTATGACTATAGTCATATACTTACAAATTAACAAAATCGCATTACCACTTTAGGGTTGGCAAAGGTACGAGAATTTAATAAATTATAAAATCTTTAATGAGCTGATATAGCGGTAAAATCACGAGGGTTTTACGCCATTAGATATTTGACATTTGTTAGAAGCTCTTCTTGGACAGCAAACTAAACTTGTCCAGAGAAGACCCGGCAAAAAACTCTGCATAAATTACTACCTCTGCCAAGAAATGACTTCTGATTTTAGCCAGTCTAAGACGCGGTACTGACCAGAGTGTAACTACCGTGGTAATTTTTTTGTAAAAACATGGAAACTTTTACATGTATCCATAATTTTTTCGAATAAAAAAATGTTTGCTTAAAAAGATGCCTTAATGAACTACGTGGACCCAAGCCATATGCAGCCCGTATATATTGCTTTAAGATTTACTTTTAATTCAAATTATTTATTGTACACATTTAATTATTTAATTATTTGTAATACAAATTTAATATTGTAACTAAACCAAATGCCGAACACCGAAGCACATGTGTCCTGTTGTGGTGTGACTATAGTGATTTATAAAAACGAGAAAGTAAAGTATTCAACCACACCTAATAATGCTAAAATATTTGATAAGGAAAAATAGAAAAATAGAAAGCTGTGATGCAAATTAGTATTTGTTATAATGAGATTAAATCATAACTATGCATGTTTCATCATAGTAGAATGAATATCAACAGTATGGTAGCTTTGCAAGTAACTAGCTTTGCAAGTGTTTGATGATTATATCTTGCTAGAATTTTAGAATAAATTACGAACAAAATTGCAATAATTTAGTTTTAGCGAAGCATATTCATTGTTATGTGACGTTGAAAAATTATTCTCAACGGACAGATAAAGCGAAAATGTAAAAAGACAAAAACCATCCTTAATAAGCCATTCACTTCATTGAATTGAATATTAACATTACTTTGTACCGGAAGATAACAATGTAGTTTCTTAAAGACTGATTGTATCGTTATACATAACAATAGGAATGATTAATTCTAATTACTTTGAACACATGACGTTAATTTATCTCAAATTTTGCTTAAATATAATCCCAAACCAATATTATATATACGAAAGTGTGTTTTTTAGTACTTCTGTGGAGCATCGGAGCATTTGAACGTCTTGGTTAAATTCTTATTCAAAAACACAAACAAAAAAATTATTAAGTACAAATCTTTGTCTTTATCTAAAGAAAACTTTTTATTGGTTTATTTTAAAATCATGAACGAATAAATAAATAACTAAACCGTAATAGCTGTGTCCGGATACTCGCTTTTAATTCAATATACTGGAGCAACTTGAGCTCAATTTCGGCACCAATGAAACTGTAGATTACAATTTTTTTACGAAAATGACCTACACATGATATCCGCAACACGGTTTTCTTTAGGAATCCACAAAATATTTAAAAATAATTGAAATTCGAAATAGAGCACATATTTATTTTCATAAAACATTCGAAATTTAATAAAACACAATATTATGTGGCCTGCAATCAATTCAAAGGTTGTCATTATGTGAATAACTTATGGCCCGACTAGGTTTTTTTACAACTTCCACGGTTATAGTACAAATGTCTGTCAATCAAAGCAGTGGTAGTTTATTGATAAACTAACGTTCTTGTGACAATCAGTGGGAGCCAACAAAGACAGTATTTGTTGGCTCGAAATTGAATTATTTTCCACTAAAAAGTACTCCAAATTTTGGAATAAGTAATAACCAGTAGGTGCAAGGTCTGGTGAGTATGGTTGATGAGGGAGAATTACAACCCCAACTCTTGCAGCTTGTAGACTGCCTGTTGTGCAGTATGGGGTCGCGCGTTGTATTGAAGGAGCAGCGGGGACGACTATTGACTAAAACTAGTTGCAGATGTGCGAGTTTCTCCATCATTGCCTATGAACTAATCTTCACAGTACTAACAACTGCTACTGCATTACTTTGCCCATGCCGTTTCGTAAAAAGCTGTGATGAATCGCACCAGCACAAGACCACTGAACAGAGACCATCACCTTTCTAAGGTTTCATTTTTTGTTTAGGGCATTGATTTGGTGCTGAACCAGGATCTAACCAACTTGCTGAGCGCTTTCGATTATTGAACAGAATCTATTTTTCGTCGCACGTAACAATTCGGTTGAAAATTTCTTAATATCTGTGCCTGTTGAGCAGCGTGAGGCAAGTACGTTGTGCTGGCGTTCGTTAAATTCGTGGGGCACCCATCTATCAAAATTATACCTTGCCAATTTGACACAAATGGACCAATATTGTTTTGATGCTAACATCAAAAGCTGCTGGTACCTCGGCTGCAAATTGAGTATCATCAGCTTCCATAATCGCGTTTAATTCAACATTGTTGACCAAAATGTCCGAACGACCACGAGGTTCATTTTTCATTTCAACGGAACCGGGAAAACTTATAAAGGGTTGCGCGTTCGTATGTGAAGTTCTCTCCGTAAACTTTGTTGATGTTACTTGCCGTTTGTGCCGCGTTGGTGCCACGACGAAACTCTAATTCCTCTTCTTTTCTTACAGGAATTTTTAAAGTATCCATTATGACGAAAAATGTTCAAATGTAATGAAAATACAAAGCCAATCAATAAACAAAAGACTGACTTTGTAAAAAGAATTTCCTATTTTTAAAACAAAATTAATTTGAATTTAAAATTCACAATTCCAATTCCATAGGTATATTATTACTAAACTAGAAGCTGAAATTGACATAATATAAAACTAATACCCATCTTCTTACAACTGTTTCGTGTACCAAAGGAATACCGTACCGTACAATAGATCATAAATAATTTTCGCTGTTCTGTCCCAACCAAGGGATCTCATATCGTAGCCGTAAATCTAAATATTAAGATTATAACCTCTGCTAAATGTTGGAGCACCCAAAAATTTTCAGGATGGTATCATAACCGATGCCCTATTAAAATAGACTTATAAAACAGAGTGAATATCTTTTACAGGAGCCATCACATACGTTGTCGAAGGGAATGCATGGTTTTAAATAAAATTTCATTGTTATCATAATCATATCGAAATTTATTTCACCAGGAAACGATTTGAGGTAATGTCATCGTTACCATGTCGTTTCTGTCAAAGAGCACGCGGCTAGACGATCAAAGTAACTTACTCGTTTCGAGCTCGAGACACTGAACTCGTACTCTAATTGCACTAGCGGGCAATTATTGATACGAACATAATTTGCAAGTTTTGTTCTCCTTTTGATTTTAAATATCCCAAAGAAATCCTATAAGCTGCTAGCATATTAAGATGCGGGCGGAGCTAATGAATAGACAGTGGTCCATCCAACAACACACGTGGTACTGTTGGTTACCGTGGTGGGTGTTAAAACGAATATTTCTCTACCCTTTATTTATTTAACTAGATTTTATCGTTGGACATATAGATGAAAATTTAAAAATAAAATTAGGACCTTAATAGTTTTTTTGTTCCATAATAGATACCTACTTGTGAAATTCTTGTAAATGCAATAATCATTTAATAATACACTTAAATAATAGATGTAGAGAATAGGCATGTCGTAAGTCTCTTGTCTGTTAATAATAAAAAAATGGATTACACATATCCGATACGATACATGTATTACAAAACATCCACAGTATCACGTAGCACACGTCCACTCTTGTATTTTACGCCTTATAACAATAAAAAGGCCGCTTAACATCATAGACAATTGTCCCATTAATCTTAGGAATAACATCTTTACGTATGTAACGTATATGGGCAGTGTTTAGTTATTTCAAAATAAATATGTCTTTTAAAGCACAAGGTCTTTATATAAATAAAACTACCGACTAACTACGTATAATAATTTTTCGAAACTTCTGTCATATAAACTCCACGTAAATGCTACTAATTTATGATGTAAAGCGGCTTCGTGCTCACAAATAACCTTTTAACACGCATCAATTACGTATAATTGGCATTAAATGACATACATATTGTAAGATCATGACCCCAATAAATCCCCGCGAATATACTTGCACAGAATACTACGACCTTCTTTTAGAAGAGAAAAATATATTTTCAGATTTCATACAATTTAACATAAGACAATTTCTAAAACTGATTTTATCAATTGTTTTTACTTAAGAAGTCGTGTTAATGTTGCTTCAGTAATAAAAATAACATTCGTACGCAGTTTCCTGTCAATTAATTTTCAATAACAACATTGTCGTATACAATATAATTTCATTGACAATTTAGTAATAAATTCGATCAGAAAGTCGAGTATTAGAAAAGATTTGTCCAAGAGAAATGTGAACATGTCCAAAAATAAATTTAATTAACAACAATGTTTACAATGTAAAAAGACACAGCAATATTGTATAAAGGGACAACACACAATGAATAACCACCCGATTACTAACACTATAACCAGTTTTTAATATTTGTTTTTGGTTCAAATTACGCTCAATCAACTGTTCCCTATACGGTAGTTAATTTCACATTCGTCTAATGTTATTTTTATCGTAAATGGATCATCTATCGACCAGTCGGCGTACCAACAGTGTCGCGTGCAACTGTCATTTCACTCTTAACCAATCCATAACTCACTTTTCATTTCTGTTCCGGCGCAAAGCGTACGAGTTCGCAATGGTTTCACGACAGCGTGTTAGGGCGTATTTTGAATGGGAGGATCAGGAAAAAGTATAATACGGTGTTAATGAAAGCATCTTTATTTATTACATTTCTGTGCGCCGTCCGCACGCAAAATAAGTTAAATAGATTTAAGATTTAGATAAAATTATCATTTTGACATCACATGGGCCTCCTCACATTGCTAAATAACAAAGTGTCAATAGTAGCAACCATTTCTTGAACATGTAAACAATTTTACTACATAAATTGCTTTAAATATCTGATATGACAAAAATTGCGCATGCGCATATCTGACATTGTTTGATATGTAACAGAATATGGACATGTTAATAACTAACCGTGATTTTGTACTAACTTTTGTATCAGGAACATAACACAATGTGTGACGAAATTATAGGTTTTGTCATTGAAAATGTTAAGAAGAACGTAAAACGTCCCGTTATTTTATGTCCCGATTTTATTGTTACGTAAGAATTATAACCTGTATTTAAGTTTATTTAGTCCTACAACTGCGTTCACTACACTTCAAACATAATATAATGGATATCAGCAATAAACTAACATTTTATAAATAATATTGGTTTGTGTACGTAAATAACGGAAAAATTTATAAACAATATGTCTTTGTGATGTGATATTATTTGAACAGAACGCTTGTGTAACGCTGTCAGCTATGAATGGGTACACAATAATATTATATAAATATACTTATGCATAAATTAAAATATGTCTGACTATATAATAGAAGAATATATAGTCTAGAAGAGTCAAAGGAGAAATAGATAACAGCCTACACATGTCCCACTGCCGGTTAAATACCTCACCCGTATAAAGGGTATTTGGGCATAGTCTACCACGCGAACACACTGTGGATTGAGCGACCACACATATCTCTAAGTTATTTCGAAAATATGAAGGTTTCCTCACGATATTTTCCTTCTCTGCAGAGCACGTGATAAGTCCGCACTTAAAGCTTCTATTAACAAACTCATTGGCGCCGGCACTGGGATTTGAACTTAGGTTGCTAGAGTATATTTCACTAAAAGCGAGCGAGCTTTGAATGATCATGAATAGGGCCATAGGATAGCTCGACACTGAGCTATCACGGAGCTATGATGATATAAGACTTATTTTTTTTTTTTGTTTTTATGGGAATAGGAGGCAAACGAGCATGTGGGTCACCTGGTGATAAGCGATCACCGCAGCCCATGGACATTTGCAACATCGGTTGAGTCGCAATTGCGTTGCCGGCCTTTAAGGAAGGAATAATAATAATAATAATTTATTCTTAAATACAAATCTGTCATGACATTTTGTTTATAATTTTGTCAGACATTATCAGATCGTTAAAGGTTTTACTTAAATAACACTCAATAAAAATTTTGCCCAAGTAACGTTAAGGTAAATATGATAGCAGAATTTAGTCATTATTATGATGAAATAAAAGTACAAGCTTACTTGTAATGAATACGAATTTTGTTTTATGTTTTTGTTAAATATAATTAACTTTAATATCATTCTTAGCAAAGGGTTGCTATGACAACTAGTTTAAAATTTACTCCTTCCGGTCCTTTCGTCGGTATTTAAATTTTAGATCGTTACAACGACCTATAATTTTAATAACTATATTAAAATAAGGATATACGAATATACATAGATATGGTATATATGATATGATATGGCATAGATATAACAAATTGGCGAATGTGAAACTTGTTTCCGTACCACATAATTTGTTCCATTGAAATAACTTTTAATGTCAGAAATGAAGATTTATTTATTCTTTTAAGTTAGGTATTATAATTTCCAACAATTTATGTCATAAGACATAATTATATATATATTTATATTTATGCTTTATTGCAAAACCTTAAAAAAGGATTACAAAGGGCGGACTTAATGCCATTATCACATTTTGATAAGGGTCAAAAACGATGACATACACACGTTCTCCACAGGAAGATGTAGTTATGAGTACGACATCTTCATGTGGAAGAGGTTAAAGTATTTTACGAGTATGAAAATTACACAATTGTACCATACAGCTAAAGACATTAAATCTGACAGATAGTTGAAGAAATATAACAGTTTAAAGAAGTGCGTTCAAAAGAAGATGACGTACCTCCATGAAATAATGATGAAGATTCTGTGTTTAAAATTTATTGACAAGTTTATACCTCCATACATCCTAATAAGGGTATATATTAAATGTATTTTGATTGAAAGTATAACAGAGATACACGAGACGTTTGTACGAAAGTATGTACGGATATTACGAACTGACATAAACGACACGTGCTCTAATTGATATTAAGCTACGAGCTGCATTTGGGTTTTCTTTTTTTTTTCCAACAAACATAAACGTACGAAAGTATGCCGGAACACTTTCAAAAACATTACCGCTCAACCTTGTATCGTCCGCGCTAACGCGGCGAAACGAGCTGATATAGATAAACGATTATGAAGATGCCTCGGCGCTAGTGCGGGCTCTTGGCAAGGTCGCGACCAGTGTTGGTATTACCCAGGGACTTCGCTGAGGTCTCCCGGGACCGGCGTCTTCCCTCGCAAACGGGCTGACAGCACGCCGCCCTGTCACCACTGCCATATAAGAACAGTCTACTCGGATTGCCGCGGGCACGTCAAAAAACTGGAGGCGGTCGTGCGCACGCGCACTTCGCGTTGTACTGAACGACACGGAAGGTGCGCGGGATAGTGACGTGCGTCGAGGTTGTCGATATGTTTATTTGCATGTTGCTTGCTTTGTTTTGGTATTAAGCTTAATCTTTCATTGGTAATGACTCAACTGCTGACAGGTTTATTGTTATATTGATCGTTTCACTATAGACTTAATTGATCAATATACAATAGGTACGTACCTATACTACCTGGGAAATGATAAACATAACGATATCAGTGTGATTTAGTTTTCTTACATTGTAGATGAATCAAATCACATTAAAAAAAGAATAAGAAATACCTTACACATAATCTCATAAAATAAACTTCAAAATATATTATAGTAAAAAAAAAAACCCTACACAGTCTCATAGTATTAACTTTAAAATAAAGAGTCACCCGTTTGAAAGTTGCAAAATAGTAATGATCATAATTTATTTTAGCAAGTATAACAAAAAGAGTACTACTGAATATGACATTTGTAAAATTTGTAGAAATAAGGAAGAATAAAATTAAATAATGTGATGTCACCGTATTGCAAAAGTCAGAGCTTTTCAGAACATTACACAGATATCTAAATCGGGTGTGGCAGATGTCCATGGGCGGTGGTATTCACTTAACATCAGGTGAACCGTCTGCTCGTTTGACAACTTTTCGCATAAAAATATTTTTTTTTGAATGTAATATGCTACTTGTAGTAAAATTCTAAATAAAAAAGGTTTATAATAATATGTGTATGTATATGTTTGAATGAGTGCGTGGGCGTGTGTGGGTGCGTACATATGTGCTTACAAAATGTACATCTAATCTACGTCAATTTCAAAATCATAAACATTTAAATATACAAACAATTCTATTTGATACACATTATAAAAATATATAAATCGACAAAGGGCATCACTAATCCGTGGGCACAAGCCACGCTACACCGCTTACGGCGCTGCTTAGTTATGGAAATGACCGTCGACGAAGTAAATATAAAAACAGGGGGATAATTATCATCGCCGTGTCCACTGACCGTCACCGCATCGCTACGTTGTTTTGTAAGAAAATCCCTTATATTAAAACATTATCAGTGAGATGGACACAAGTGAAACTACTTCCTTCTCGTATAGTCTCCGTTATTCAACGTTATAATAATTTATGCTAAAGAAAATGTTATAAATAATTTCTTCCATATTAATTGTAGATATATGTATAATGTCCGTAAGACAACGTCTGGACTATCTTAGTTTATGGGATGCAAGGTACAAGAACTGTTTTTTTTTTAAATATAATTGACTTATTTTATTTTATAGGACTTTATTTACGATGGAACAATAACGCGAGCAGTGTTACATATTAGCCATTAATTTACACGTCTAGAATAGGACTGAAATTTAAAAATTAAAAAAGAACGTGCAATCACTAAGAAATTGTCGTACAATTTTAGTTGTGTCGCGTGTTTAGCGTATAAAAACCTTGGCTCCGTTTTAATTTATGTCGTGAATCGGAAACATCACTTACATTATCAGCGTCATTTTCTCTTTCATTGAAACGCAAGTGACGAGTGAACATGTTTGTGAAAACATTTTGTTTCAAGAAACGATTTCCTCGGGCTATCGATGTAAGTTCGTTGCAAAGTCGGAAGATTTCAGGAATTGTATTTGTCCGATTACATCGCAACCCGAGACTTGCGATCAAGAGTTTTATTCCTGTCTTATTCGTGTTATGTAACTTTTTGTATTTATAACGGTTTATGCATCTCAGCTATTATAATTATAACTTCATTTATGTATATGAGGTATAAAGCTATCTCAGAGGATACAGCGCTACCTATCGGAACCTAGGTAAGCATCTGTTGCGCCAGTGGGGCTCATCTTAAAACGAGAACGCTATAAGTTAAAGACAGAGGAAAAGTAAACGGTTTGAACGCTAATGCGAAGTAAAGAAAGGTAATAAAATTTTGTGGTTTGGACACACAAGTTGGACATTTCAATCTAGAAGGAGTGGATGAAAGAAGGCTGTCAAATAATGTTTATTGTGTATATATATATATATATAACCTAACGTTAACAATCAGGTAAGTTTGGTACACGGTTGTTTTTCCGTTTTTTGCAAGAGGTAGAGACGGGCGAGCATAAAACAGTAGGATTTAAAGTAATGTGGTTTACGAGCATGGTACACTCTGGAGCTCTGGCCGCAATTAACAATAAAAATTGACGGCTAGATGATAAAATACGCTTAAAGGCAGCAAAGATAACTTCTCCTGACAGCACCATTAATGTTTTTAGCAAAATATTTACATTCTGTCTCATATCCTCTTAATAATGTCATGACGCCGGCGTGATTTCATTTCTCGCTCACGCGTGAGATAACGGCTGGGTGTTATTGTCCGTCATTAACATAACACGCACGGTAATTTCAGTGATTTACCGAATGAATCTGTACTAATTATCGGTTAGAGTGAAAGTTGTAACAGTTAACAAAAAAAAGTCAACGTATGAGCCCGTTTAAAGTGTATAAATGTTTTAAAGATTATGATAATGAACGTGAATTTTAAAGAATGTGTATAAGGAATTTCGAAATGATTAGAACATTTTATTGTTTCACCTTAAGTGCGAAGATTAGCATTACGAAAATTTTAATGTCAAATAGCGATGGCGACATCTCTCGTTCGAATTACCGTTGTAAAACGATATAACCATATAACAACGATATAACAACAATAGAAGCGCCAGGCATTGCTACAAATGCGGAATAACAATGTATATAAACTACGTTCTGATTTTTGTCAGTGCGGCAGCGGTTTACCAGACGTGGTTTCGATTCCAGCAGCGGCAAAAAACTTGTTGTCCATATTTTATAGATTTTTTTATGAGTAACAGTAGTGTTTAAAATTTTGATCAATAAGAAGATCATTCTGATCAACTCAGAGAGTTTAACCATCCTTTTGGCAAATCAAATGATATTTGAAAAGCTATTTGACAGCTGATTAGTTAAGTTCTACGCTGATTAGTGTTTCAGAAACCGGGCGTTAGTATACAGCCCAAGATATCATATTAAGTGCGCGTGTCACATTACTCAATGCATAAAAACTTCACAGTTTGGGCTTTTATTTTCTAGGACTTTTATAGGACACGTTTGGGCTTAGGAAATCCGAAGAAAAAGTTGGAAACTCATTCATCCACGACATTGAAATTCGAGTCCTCGAACTCCGGCTTTCTGACATACAGTCAAGTTATTTACTACACTGAAATACTTGTAGTATTACTCATCAGTTTATTTTGAAGTCAGCGGATATCAAAGAATATTAATATAGTATAAAAGCATTCAGGCAGTCTAGTCTTTGTCTATACTCGTATTATTTACGTCTCGTATACTGTCTATATAAGCATAAAAAAATTTAAGCCAATTAAATATATTAAGTAGTAATAATTGTAAGTCGCCATATTGACCAAAATAACATATTGCAACTAGTTCACAATACTATGCGGATTTTATCGCATATAATATTTTGGCCTCATGAAAGCGTATGACAGCGTGGACAAAGAGGCCTTGTATAGAATCCTAAGGCACTTTAGTATACCTGAAAAATTGGTCAATATGGTGATGGTAGACACAAAAGTCAGCAGGATGAGAGTCCGGATACAAAGAGAGCTCTCTGATTAATTTGAGGTAGTGACAGGTCTCAAAAAAGGTGACGCTTTGTCGCCGTTGCTGTTTAATTTAGTGCTTGAATACACCATCCGCAAAGTACTGGATTACGATGGGGGAGTTGAATTAAATGGCAAACATAAGGTGGTAGGCTATACTGATGACCTGGCACTACTAGGAAAGTCAAAAAATACCTTAGAAGCATGGCGGACATCCTTAAGTTGGAGAGAGAAAAGATCGGTCTCAGAATTAATCTCGAAAAACAGTACCTACAGGTTAAACGCTACAACAATATCAGAGGAAAGCGGGATAATCTTGTTGTTGTTCAGGTCATCTATAAAGGCGTTAACCAGTTTAAATACCTAGGTACTATCGTAACTGCAACCAACCAGAGAGAGGACGATATAAATATCCGCACACAAAACGCCCTAAGATGCACAGCAGCCCTGCATAAACTCCTAGTGTCCAAGCTCATTAGCATTAAAGCTAAGATACGTGTCTATAAGACGGTGATCAAACCTATCTTAATGTATGGCTGTGAAGCTCGGACACTGACATTAAAGGAAGAGCATCAGCTCTTAGTCGCGGAGCGCAAGATCTTACGGAAAATTCTGGGACCGGTGAAAGACGAGGATGGGAACTGGAGAATTCGGAAAAATAGCGAAATTGAACATCTTGTGTCCGAACCCAACATTATCGGCGAAACGAAAGCTGGGAGGCTGCGTTGGCTTGGACACTTGGAGAGGATCGTGCAGTCGAGAGAGCATATATGGAGCAACCAAAAGGGAAACCTGTTGGTCACCCCAGATATCGCTGGATAGACGAAATGCATAAAGATCTGAGAGCTCTCCAATCAGCCAATTGGTAAGAAACAGCCCAGAACAGAGAGCAGTGGCGTCTTTTCGTGTCCAAGATTCTCTTTGGGTCGCTGAGTCAGCCAAGTAAGTAAGTAGTAAGTATAATATTTTGGAGTTGGCGTATGTAGGTAGAAACCCCATGAAAGATAATAAAAAAAAAAAAAACAGTTTGTACTAAATTTACAATATGATTTATTGTAATTTGTAACAAATTTTAAAACACTATAAAGTTTTCTTAACGTCACGAATGAAAATCAAAATTAGGGGCTATAAAATTTGTTAAATAATTTAATTTAGTAATGCTCTTCGGATTTTTGACTACATATTTTGTTTTACCGACTTTATATATTTGTTTCGTATTTCTACACGATCATATTTCTTCTCTGATTCTACACGATCATATTTATCGTTTATATTGATATTCACAAGTTTTGGT